TTTAAAAATTAAGGCTGAAGTTGTCTTGCAGTTGCAGATTAGGAACTAATGAATGCTGAACAAATAAAATTTTGAGTGCTTTCCTTTTCTTGGTTTTACAGGAAATTATGGGAAACTCTAACAGTTTTAAATGCATTAATTTAAAACTTATATCAGACTCAATGTAAGTGTGTCGTTGTATCCTGAAAGACAACATCAAATGCAACCTTGTTAATTGCTCTTGCCTCATAATGCAGTAGTGTTATTTTTAATATAACTAAGAACGATTTAATGCCATAATTAACATTTGATCCCACTGATCAGTGAGGTCATCAGAGGTTTTAATTGGATTTTTTTTAAAAAAAGCTTTCAACAATTTTTTTTAAAGAAAAGTCTGTTCAATAAAAAAACAAAAAAAAAAACAAGAGTGTAAAAATCTAATGCAGCCATAAAATTGGAGTTTTCTAGTGCAGTTAATAAATTTTTCACAATATTCATACATCAAACCAATGTTAAAACGTCAACAACAAAAGCTGATCTTTTATAACCCATGAAGGTCTTGTCATAGCTCACACGCACGGTCTGGTCATAATATGCACATTTTTTATAATGAACTGGTAATGAAAATTTTCTGTTGTTTTTTAAAAATAATTTTTAAGCAGCTTTTTACAAATTTTGAGTGTGGCTAAGTTTACATTTTGCGTAACCTTTTCTTAAGTTTATTTTTATTTATTTAAACAAAGATTGCCCAAATTGAACCTGATGGTATTGGCCAGAGTATACAAACCTCATTTAAATATAATGCTAGCTTTTATTATGAGCTCCTTATTTAATAATTCCCCATTATTTATGAATTTCCGTCCAAATATTTTTATATTTACATATATTTTGCTGCATACAATTTTGCTGTATTTATTTACAAAATAATAAAAGGATACAATTTACAATGAAATGACTTCAAAGTCAAATAAAACCAAGAAATTAAGACTTTGCATGCTGTATCATTTCGAGTTTTGTGCGTGCTGTCAATGTTGCTTTTTCGTTTTAAACGTATAATTCCTTCGATTTGTTTAAATTTTTTTTTTGCATCGTAATAATTATTACGGGTCCAATTTACAAGACCACATGACCAAAGGCATTTAAGGATCTCATTTAGTGCAGTCATCTGGAATTTTATTTCGTGAAATCAGCATCATCCTATTTCCTTTATCTTCCCTGAAAAACAGGAAAAACTGATTTTTTGGGAGTTGGGGGTGAAAATTTGAAAGAATGTGTTGTCATCTGCAAAGAGTCTATGTGCCAATTTTCAGCTCGATAGGTTGGCGGGAAGTGGGTCAATTAGCCGTTTGAAGATTTTTGCCCTAAACGCACAAAACCAAAGTTAATTAAGGATTTAAAAATATCATTGAATTTGAGCTCTCTGTGGATCCTCTTTTAACCTAACACTAGAGAGAGTTATTAGAAACTTTACACATTGACACTCGAGGAACTATAACAGGATACTTTCTGAGGGAAACTCAAGACCCACAACCAACTGGCACACTCTACAACCAACCACTTCAGTATCTTTCATATGCTGATGACATAGCACTTCTAGGGAAAAGTATTAAAGACATATCAAAATCCTTTATTGAATTAGAAGACGCATCTCTACAAGCAGGGCTGAAAGTTAACAACCAAAAAACAAAATACATGACCATGATAAGAGAGGAACAAACAGATGAAACAATTAAAATTAGAAACCAAACTTTTGAAAAAGTAAATCAATTCAAATACCTAGGATCCTTGTTAAATGAAAGAAATGAATTACTAACAGAAATAAAAGAAAGAATATCAGCCGGAAAAAGGGCATACTTCAGTAGTCAGAAAATACTCAAAAGCAAAATATTACAAGAGAAACAAAGAAAACTATTTATAAAACTGTGATCAGATCAGTTGTAACATATGGTGAAACTTGGACCCTAACAAAAACAGCAGAAAACCTATTAAACACATGGGAGAGGAAAGTTCTCAGGAAAATATATGGGCCAACAAAGGATGAATATGGATGGAGAATACGAACCTACCAGGAATTATACAGGATCCCACGATAGTGGCAGAAATAAAAATAGGCAGGCTACGCTGGGCAGGACACCTAGAGAGAATGCCAAATGACAGAGGAACGAAGAGGGTGCATCACCAATACCCAAGAGGAAAAAGGCTCAAAGGCAGACCTAGGGCTTAGGTGGATAGATGATGTAGAAAAAGATCTACTGCAACTAAAAGTCCAAGCATGGAAAAGAAAGGCATTAGTTAGGTCTGAGTGGAAGGAAGTGGTGAGGCAGCCAAAGCCCTACATGGGCTGTAGCGCCACAGGGATGGATGTGGATCCTCTTTTTATATTGTGAACTGTATAGCATTTTTATTTTATTTTTAAACAAAATATTTTCAAGGTCTTGTCTCAAATGCTACAACACAGAGGCTCATGATCTGGTTTTAAATGTAAGAAGCCACTCTTAATATTTCACATAATAAAATAATGTCTGAACCATCTTTTACATCTGGAAATGAATGATACATTTAGCTTCTATTACCTATGGCTGCACAGAATTCTATAAAATTTTCTTGCAGCTGGAAGAAATTAACATTCTTTCTTCCTAATAAAAAGCCAAAAATTCTTTTACTCAATTTAAAATAAATAAATAATAACAAAAACATATTAAATCTGGTTTTATATAAATACATTGGAGGTATACTATTGCATGAAATATTGTTTTGGTTTGAATCACACAAGCCATTCTAAAATTTAGGTGACAAGAAAAGTATCTTAATGGTAACTTTTTTTAAAAGCATGCTTTTTTAAATGATACAGAATATAGTGCTGTAATGCTGAAAGGCATATAAGGTGCAAGTTAAAATTTGCTTTTGTTTCAGATTGGCAAGGATAAAGTCTATACACATGGCAATATTATAGTTTGTAATTGTATTTTAAAAAATTAACAATAACATGAATGTGATCTAACATACTCAATACAGAAATACATTTTGTGAAATAAAAATACCATAATGAAATGTAAATTATTTCATTATCTTAAATCTTTCCAAAAATTTGATCCTCTTATAATAACAGCAAGCTTACAGTCAAATTACTGCAATTACAAATAGCGTAAATAATCATATTCATGGGGAACAAGGCTGTTGAATCTATATCTCACATCACAAATGTTTATCAAAAACATTGTAAAAATTAAATGTTCTAAAAATCAAAAGGTTTAAAATTTAACTTTTACTTTTAACTGGCTTGTTACAAATTTTCATTACAACATAATGAAAGAGAGAATATTTTGTTTATGTGCCATTTTTTTCTTTGGCATTTGTTGGAGCCACACTCACACTGCTACAACTACTAGACATTATCTTTTATCATTCTTTAAACACATTTAATGAATGCAAAAAAGATCTTTTTGCTGAAAGTATTTATTGTGTCATAAATTAATATTCATTACTTTTTGATTGCACAAATAATTTTAGTCCATTTAAGTAAAGAGATTACTTGCTTAGACTGACAAAAGAAACACATAGAACTTATACATCAGTTGACACTACAATACTCCATGTTTTAATTACCATAACAAAGATAACATAATGCACTAACACTTAAAAAAATATATTATTTTCTAGTATCTAAAGCTCATAAGTAATTAACAGGCCAGATTGAAAGCTAACAGTTAAATTATTCTGGTAAATATTGGGATATAACAATATCAGTTGGTAAATATTGTGTACAAACTATTCAATTAGCCAACCTCATTAAAGATTGGTCTCAGGAGATGCCAAAAGTTCTTTTTAATTAAATTTTTTCATTTCCACTGTTTCTGTTCGTACAAGAAGTTTTTTTACTGACATGTTTGTCTTCTTTCAAGTTTTACCCTCCCGTGTTTCTGAACACCCTATTGTTTTAAACAATGTGATATCGGTACTTTAAAGTACAAAAATGCTCCATCTCACAACTTCATAGGTGGCATCAAAAATGTCATGTAGGAAATTCACATAATGGTTGATTTAAAAAATGTTTCCACTTGAAATAATGGGAGGGTTGGCAATGAATTGCCCACTCACTTTGTAACTTTTGGCACCATACAGTTAGTTCTGGTTTCTTGGGACACCAAGGGGAACACTGGCATTAGACTCTTCATTCTTTTTATGACGATTTGCTATGTCACAATTACGCATTATTATGTATAACACACAGCAATCCATTGAATAAATATAATAACATATATTTAAAGACAAATACAAATGATTTCCCTATGCTTAAAGGACATCATTCTCCAAGTACCCCTAAAAAGGAGGCCTCTTAGACTCTTATCCCTGCATTGTAATTAATAGAAGAAAAAAAATCCCTAATTTTGAAAAGCCCATCTCAATTTTGGATGTTTTTGGATATCACTGTTCTTTCATTCCCATCATAACATTTAAACAATGAAAGATAAGACTAGAAATCATTTACAAAACAAAACCCAATCATCTCCACCAGGCTAAACAAAACTGTACAAGAAGTTTCAATAAAAGTGTAACATGTCATGTGAGAAAAAACACAAGTGTGGGCATTTTAAAAAAAAAAGAGGATACAAATAAAAAAGTTAGGAAGTTAATTTAAAAGCTGATTTAACAGAAACAGCTTAAATCTGGCTTTCTATAAATAAATTGGAGGCATATTATTTTATACACTAATTTGTATGGCTCATAGAAAAACAATTCAAATTTTTTCATTGCAATTTGTAACAATTGAGTAAAGTTGTCATAAAAAAATTGTGCCACAAAACCCACACAAAAAAAACGACAAATATCATGAGAAGATTTATCACTTCTTTTTTTTTAACATTAAATTTACAAAGAGATCCAGACTACATAAAAAGAAATTATTTTTCAAAAATTAATGTTAACTTACAACTGTGGAGAGCTGAAAAAAGTAAAATTTAAAGACAGGAAAAGAGTGTGTGTGTATGTCTGTGTTGTTTTTTTTTTGGGGGGGGGGGGGGTGGGTGGTATAAAGAGAAATAAAAATATGGAGTGTAAATGCATAAACTTATTTTTTAGTTATGTTTTCTCTGTCTTTATGTCCTTTAGCTTATTTTTTTCTTCTAGTCCTTTCATGTAGAATTCGTGGTCTTCTAGCTGTAGGCACCATGGAGTGGCATCAACATTGCATTCCAGGTAAATGTTTATAAATGTCACAGGTGCGCCATCAATGATAAGTTCTTTAACATTGTCCACTGCATACTTCACAGTTGTTACACCTGTTTCTCTGTCTAACCTGCGGGTCTTCTACATTAGCCATGTTACATAGAGGGGTGAAAAAGGGAAAAGAATTAATTTTTATACCTAGAAACTTATCCATGAAAAAATAACAACAAAATAGTGCACATAGTATTATCAAAAATGTTGGCTTAGAATGCACGCACCAAACAAAATGTAGAAAAAACAACACTAACCTCTGATTGATTAAAATATCGATTGTAGTCTCTGGGTCGTTTTCTTCTGTCATGTACATGCCTAAATGATTTGTAGCCAGTGGTAAGATTACCTGGTCTGGTTATCTGAAAGGTAATTTTTACAATACCGGTATCTATACTGAGGGCAATTTTTAGCTTAACAAAAAACAATCATGGATAAATGTTTTGCCACTTCTTTGTGTAAACTGCTGTAACTAGAGTTTTTAGATTTCATCCAACTGAAGAGTCTGGGCATGATGTTACTGTCAATTGCTAGGTTTAACTGGCTCTAAACTGTACAGCCTGGGCATTATGTTACTGTTGATTGCTAGATTTAACTGGTTCTAAAATGTACAGCCTGGGCATTATGTTACTGTTGATTGCTAGGTTTAACTGATTCTAAAATGTACAGCCTGGGCATTATGTTACTGTTGATTGCTAGGTTTAACTGGTTCTAAACTGCACAGCCTGGGCATTATGTCACTGTCAATTGCTATGTTTAATTGGTTCTAAACTGTAAAGCCTGGGCATTATGTCACTGTCAATTCCTAGGTTTAATTGGTTCTAAACTGTAAAGCCTGGGCATTATGTCACTGTCAATTCCTAGGTTTAATTGGTTCTAAACTGTAAAGCCTGGGCATTATGTTACTGTCAATTGCTAGGTTTAATTGGCTCTAAACTGTAAAGCCTGGGCATTATGTCACTGTTGATTGCTAGGTTTAACTGGCTCTAAACTGCAGAACCTGGGAATCATGTTACTGTCACTGTCAACCCTAGGATAAACTAGCTCTAGAAATTCACAGCAGCTTATTTTGCACTGAATGGCAATATTTCCACTTGATTTTTTTTTTTTTTTTGTTTGTTAAAGTTGAAAATATTGAGACTATTGGAATGTTGCACTGATTAAAAAACAATACCTTCAATATTTATGTCTAATTGCAAAGTATTCATTAAGATTAATAACAAATAACAATATATATTTTAATTATATAAGTACAGGTTGCAACTATTAAAACAATTTAGCTTACTGTAAACTTTGCTTTTTTCATTCGTACAAAAAATTCATCATCTTCTCTTCCCCAACCCCAGTATTTGTTGGAAAGACCATTTAGCTGAAACAAAAGACAAGCAAAAAATTAAATAAATAAAACCCTTTCAATTACATGCACAATACTTTTAAGTTTCAAAATTTAAAATTGATTTAAGTTGTCTGCTTTCTGTACTGTTTGGGAGTGCATCAGCTAAAATATGGAAAAAATATATCTTATTCTTCAAATAAGGAGAAATAAAACTATCATGATCACTTTAAAAAAAATATTTCCATAAAGTATTTCAACCAGAGGATATTAAAATAACATTAAACTTCCCCTTATTTCTCATTCAGTAACATAAAACGCATTCCAACATACTTTTTCAAAGTCAGAACTCTGCATTAGCAATATACCGCCTGCATAATTCTTATAATGGTAGATTGGATGCAGGTGCGGAGCTGCCAAGTGAAGAGGCTGTCCTTCTTCGGGGAAAGCATAAACCAGTTCATTACTCAGTGGGAGAAGGTCGACATCATGCATTGCAACGTAATCACATTCACTCCTGGTCTCAAGGAAGCCAGCGTTGATTAGGGAAGCTCTGTTAAACCTATAAAATAAAACATTTCATAAATCTACTTGATATAAAAATCCAAAACTAAATATAAAATGTTAAAATTTAACGGATGCATTTTGAATATGTGTGCTCAGTAGTATAGGCAGGGGTGAGGGTGGGGCGGCTGAAGGGGTGGCAAAAATTTGGCTGCACTAACCCTAGCTAACCCACTGTGCATAATATAATGTTTGTGCCACTCTACTTTACATGATTTTTTTTTACATTTTTATTTTAACCGAACTAATTATTTCCTAATTTTCCTGGCTTTAAAAATCTCCACTCATATTTTTCTTATTTGCATAGCATTGTTAACATGAGAAACTCCAATTACATATCACTACTTGCCTGTATTTGTCCAACTGATTAACAACTACAATTTTGTAATCAACATGTTGGTTGTTTAAAAATTCCTTCATATGTGGTGCAAATTCCATTAACTCTTCAAACCTTTCCCGGAACGGTACCAAAATACAAAGTCTATGATTTGAAAGAGCTTTTTTTCTTGTATCAGAAACTGAAATAAATAAAAAATAATCATACAAATGATTTACAATATTTTTTATTGTTTTGTGCACAATAATATACATATTTTTATAAGTTAAAGACGCATATGCTTTAGAGGCAACTCTTAAAAGATATAATTATTTTTTCATTATCTTATTTCCCATCCTTGTTAGTCTAGTGTGTAGGATTCAACAGAAAGGTTCTTAGTTGATATGAAAAGAAGCAACTGTTCATTTGCACAAGCCACTCAGCTTAGATTTTTTTTAAACTAAAAGTTTCAAAATTTAATCCCATTAACTTCATTTTGGAAAACACAGCAATCATACAAAACAATAGTTCAGGTGATTATAGGAGTATATGAGACACATTGGTGTGGCTTTCTGCCAAGAACTGTCTCCTTTTGAGAGAGTTGTGAGCATTATAGAACAGACAATTCTGTTGAATGTCAAAGGCAGATGAAAAGTTTTTAAAGCAAACTGATGCACCTTCTGGTTCTCTGTTATGCTCTCTTGGCAAACACCATAGCTAATTGACATAGCTAATAAGACATATGACAATGGTCCTGGAATTTTTTATGGCACATCTCTTGGATGACTGAATAATTTTGATAAATTTCTTGGGCATTTTTCTGGTAATTGGATGACATGTAAGTACGCCATTTACAACCAATGCTAACCAGCCTTGAAATCAGCATGTCATTTCCAAACTTGTATTGGGCATAAGGAATATTTGCTATTTTAAATAGCCTGATGAATCTGGGTGTTATGGTAGAATACTTTCTGATGTTAACCCAAAACATAATGATAATAAGTTCTGATTTTCAGACATCATCAGTCAAACAATCTTAAACGAAGTTTACAAAAAGATGTTTAATTACAAAATGATGCGTTACAAAACTTGTGAAGACAAAGTGACGCAACAAGGCACAATAATTCAGGAGGTTTCAAACCAGTAAGTTACTGAGTAACATAATAGAGTCACAATCATAATGGATGAACACCATACGGTAAATTCAGAGAAATTCGGCGTTTATTCCATGCGCGCACTTTTACGTCTTAAACTATGCCTAACCTGAACCCTAAATCGATCCCTATGCCTAACCCGAACCCTAAATCTATCCCTATGCCTAACCCGAACCCTAAATCTATCCCTAAGCCTAACCCGAACCCTAAATCGATCCTTATGCCTAACCTTAACAAAGTCAATGTGGGCTGCTAAATCTGAAACAGCCCACCATACATGCAGTACATATATGTCACAATAGACAATATCAGTAATGTCGTAGCCCTTGGCTTTGGAACTTTCCATAGTATCTAAGTTTAAGCCAAGCTAGGTAATTAACAACTAAAATAGGCAACATTAGACTAATATTTTAGATTCATAAAATGTAACTTATGGACGTTAATATTAAAAATTCTTCTTACTTGTTTCATAATCATGTGTAGGACACTTGCATGAAGACATACCAAGGACATCTTTATCAAATGTAATTAAGAATCCCCATATGATGGCGAATAAAAAAGTTGAGAGAATACCAACTTTCAAAATTAGAAAAATCGGCAGCCTTCTAATTAATTTTGCCATCCAGCATTTCAGTAAAAAAAATTAATAAATAAAGGTTCAATGCTTTTTCAAGCCATAATTATTTTAATAATTAAAACAAACTGTTCGCTTTTACTTATAAAAATCCAAACTTTGGAGCAGTCCAAAGAGAATGAATTATCGTTGAGCGCTTATAAAATGAATTCATGTAATGTCACCAATTATGCCTCAAACAAATATTTAAAAGTTAAATTGTTCATTATATTTATTTTCCTTACTACAAGAATTCAACAACGGCAAAGGTCTAATAATAAAGAATCGGAAATGAACAACACTTTTCAAAATCTTTTTGACTTTTATAGAAGCAATTCGGGAATTAGCTACCAAACCGTTTTTGCAACTGAAAGTAGTTTCCGATTAATACTATGGCGCGCTATTGATTCCACTGGATGATTAAGTGAGAGACTAAAGTTTGAGGGGGTAACTATCCCTTTTTAAATGAGTTTCTGACACGTTAACAATTTCTAACTTAATTTTAAACGTTCAATAACTTTGGTTTCGCTTTAAAACGGAAGCTAGATCTGAGTTATCTTTCTATTATATTCTACTTCCGCAATTTGCCATTTGTAAAGGTAAATAAAAACAAACCTCAAAAAGGGATTTATCTAAACTTTAAACTATAGTTAATAGTTTAAAGCCGCTTCAATTACAAGTACTTGAACTTACACTAAAATTATTGGTTTTGATCGCCGGAAAATGGGTGAATAATGTGGATGAAAACTCCGTGGTACAAAAATTTGACATGAGGTTCCCACTAAAATTTTTTATAATTATTGAGCCACTTGACTCTTGAGCTAGAATTAGAAAGTTGATCTTGATGTTTTTGTAAACAATTCAGTTTGCTCTATTCGATAGATAGTATTGCATTTATATTAAAAATATGGTTAAAGTATTTAGAAAATTTCACCAAAGTACTTAAGGAATTGAATAGGACAGGGCCATCCATACATGATTCATTGATTCATGATACAAATACAGTCATACACCCATCCATACTCATACAATACAGGTCCAGATGGAAAGGGGGGGGGGGTCAAATTTTTGTGACGAATGGGATAGGGTTTTAAGTAATGTGACCTCACATTAAAAGAGGAACATCATAGAAAAAATTGCACTTAATAACACTATGTTACTGACACTTTTAACATAAATTATTCTTTTATATAACCATTATAATTATTTTATTTTTAAACCACGATCACTGAGAGAATCAGTGCAGGTTTTCCAGGTCTGCAAAAAATGGCCTCTGATCAAGTTACAGGCCACCATGGAGGAGGAGAATTGGGGTGTAGTGACAATTTTTTGACAGTCGAGAGAATTTATGCTGAAATGTGGAGTCATAGAAATAGAATTAAGTATCCTTCTATGACGACAAGGATACATAACCATTTCGCAGCCTTGCATCCCTTCTCAAATACAAAACTCCCCCCCCCCCCGGATAAATTATATTGTAATAAAAAAATTTAATGTTAATAATTAAATAATTTAGTTATCTTTGTTATTGATATTCATTCGGCTTGACCTCGAAGAAATCTAATCTCGAATTCGGAGTACCCCAGGACTCGGTCCTAGGCCTGATGCTTTTCACGATGTACATTCAGCCCCTGGGTGCAGAGATCAGGCAGTTTGACATGTTGTATCACATGTTCGCGGACGATACACAACTTCATCAATCCGTGATCACTTCTCAGTTC